GCTATAGAATTTTCTAGGGGAAATTTTCCCGCTCACTGATTTTTTACCAAACGCGCTTATTCCCTAAACGCATCAAACGCTAAAAACCATGTTGTGTTGTTTAAATTGAAATTGCGATATTGATGCAACCTTACAAAACCAAATTGGTTCTGAAAATCAAAATATACAACTACAAATGTATCTTGAACTAAGTTGACTCTTCTCAAACAGTTTATTGAACCACTTTTTTGGAAAATCGTAAAGTATCTTTATTAGAGAGAGAGTACCTCTTTCAAACTGACTTGGGTTAGAGAGGCTTAAAGTCTCATTACTATCTTCAACAGATTCTGGAACCGTAGTTGTGGGTAAAGACCAGACATGTTTAGGTGGAACTTGAAGAGCCTCTAGATTCCCCTCTAACATTTCAATGACTTTGCTCATTGGTGGACGGTCAGATGGATTGGTTTGAATACACCATAGACCAATCAATGCCATTTTCTTTGCGATTTTCTCTTCTTCTTCGGTAATTTGATCTCCGAAAATCCTCATATTATCTCCCCTATCAAAATCCTTATAGATCCAATCTGGAAAATACATTGAACTATTGTTGGATCCAAAAATTTCAACATTCTCTATATTCCTTACTCCAATCATCTCAAGAATCACTATCCCATAACTATACACATCTGACTTATGCGAGACTCCTCCAAAATTCTTGGAAAACACTTCAGGGGCAATGTATCCTGCCGTTCCTCTCGCATCAAGCATCGACATGATGCTCTCTTTATTTTTACAGAGCTTAGCAAGACCAAAATCTGATATCTTGGGGCAACGATCCTTGTCCATGAGTATGTTTTGCGGCTTTATGTCGAAATGCACAATCCTTGATACACAACGATTGTGCAAATACTCTAAGCCGCGAGAGACACCCAATGCAATTTCGTATAACCTTTCCCATTCCATCTTCGTTGACATGCTCTTGGAAATGAACTTATCGAGGGATCCATTCGGCATGAACTCGTAGATTATAGCTCTTTTGTTCCCTTCATAACAAAATCCAAGAAGAGAAACAATTTAACATGCGAAGTTCTACTCAAGCTAACTACTTCATTGATGAACTCTTCTCCATTCCCTTCTGTCTCCTTCAAGATCTTTACTGCAACATCTCCACCTTCATCTGGTAACTTTCCTCTGTATACAGTTCCAAATCCTCCTTTCCCAAGAACACGCGCAAATGAGTTTGTCATCTTCTTGACTTTTGCGTAGCTATATCGTTTCAATAGTACAACGGCCTCAACGTTTTTCCCATTCCAATCACTCTTTCTCGCTTTCTTTGCCCTCAACATTACCGCAACTGCAGTAATGATCATAATCATTAAAGCTGCTAAGACTCCTGCAATAAAAATCTAGAAGAATCAAACTTTAAGTGTTATGTATATGAGAGTTCTGTCACATGGATTGAATAATATGGTACCAAGTATGAGCATGAATTTCCTTGATGATTAATCTGTAGAACAAGAATTCTTATTAGCAAAATACATGACATTTTGGAATGATAGAAAAAAATAAACGAAAAAAAACTTACGTTTTGCTCGATTAGAGGGTTCAGGAATTGATCGAGCTGGATATGGAGACTCAGAGGGAGGCTCAACAGTTACAGATTTTGTTTGAGCTGGAAGTGGAGACTCAGCGGGTGAACTTCTGTTGTGACATAACTACATATCAGTTTACAAGAAATAAGTAGCCAAACCACTCCTATAATTTATCATTTTAAATGATTACCAAATGTAAAATTCTAACTTTTTTTTCAAAAAAAGAAAAGAAATAAGTAGCCATGTAAAGGTTGACTAGTTTTAAGTACTAGATTTATATTAAAACACTAACAAATGTGTTAAGACATTTTTAAATAATAGCACAAATTGTTAAAAAAAATTATTTATATCTAAAGTGAAAATCTATATCTAATATGGACACACCAAAAATGACATTTTTGCACTTGTCTCTTTTGTAAATATGTTACTTATTCTTTTATATTTTTTGTTTTTCTGTTTGCAAGACAGTGTTAGAATTTTACATTTGGTAATCATTTAAATATTATAGGAGTGGTTACTTTTACACTCCTATAGCACCCATATTGATTTTTGTTAATATACCTTTATTATTTAGAAAATTTAATTTAACTATATCATAATCTACAGACTATATATAGTCCAACGAATCACACCCAGAATCTAACTCAACTTTTAAAAGAGTCGCCCCCATCTCTTTCAACTTTAGTCTTTAGACAAATGAATGGTCAGAATTAGAGACGTATTTGACAGAATAGAAAAGCGAAAGGAAGGGTATTTACCTGGTACTAGTGTAGGGAATGGTCGAGGGGCAAAATGTGATGACGTAGCCAAGGGGGTTTGAGCATGTGAAGAGTCTGGTTGCATCGCCGTCAACATTAGCGAGTGGACACTCTCTCTTGAAGATCTCATCAGATTTAGATACGCATGACATCTTCCTTCGTGTGTAGTACTTGAAAGGTTTGTGATTCTGACAGTCACTCATGCATCCTACCGGCTGATGTTCCCTACCGACCTTAAGCTCTGACGGACACGTCTTATTCAGGTTGAGCTGCATGACCCGAAACCCACTGGGACTACCACCAACGGAAGGTTGTAACCTTCGACCAGACTTACGTCGTAGAGGTCTTGATCGTTGTATTTGTTGAAAGAAAAGTCGACTAGAGTCGCCGGCGGAGACCTTACATCGTCTCCGGCGCACTCTATTTTCCCGGAGCTGCAGTCTCCAGTGACGCAGGAGAAACTCCCTGTTGAGTTGGTGGAGCAGAGAGACCTACCCCAGAAACGACCTTCCCATGAATTTGGCGCATCAATTACACGAGACTCTCCTTTCTTGAGGACGAAGCCGGTGGTGTTGAGGGAAACCGTACTGTCTGAGTTATAGATTCCAGGCCAGACCGTGTAATCGCATTCGTTCTCTACGGTAATCTTCCTCAATGCGGTATTTGTCAATGCGCCTCTTTGTAAAGCGTAATAGCTCATGTACCAGCTCGATGGTCGCGACGTTTCTCCTGCGGTTTAAGAAAACAAAACAATCGACGATTAAAAAGATTCACCAAAGCAGTAAACTTCTCGTCGAATAATGGTACGGTACCTAAGATGAAAATATGTCAAACAAGGAGGAACATCAATAACAATCCCTTAACCATTGGATTC